GCACACAGGATCTGGATCCTGCACACTTCTGAAGTATGGTTTCTCAACATTTCCTCAAAATGCTTTTGTTCAGGCTCTAGCCTTAAGGAAATGTTTATAGTTTCCTTCCATTGGAGACCTCACGTTCCTTATTTCCTTTATCTGGAGCCAGTGTTCCTAGGTTTTCTCCTAATTCCTAACTCTCCTTCAAGTCACCAGGCACACATTGCTTCCTCCATGAAGCTTTTTCTTACTTCCAGAACCAGGTCCTACGTCTCAGTAGGACCGCAGCATCTGTGCTTCCCTGTTTGTCTATTCAGAAAGCCTCTATTAAATAGTTGCTAGGTTCTCAGCTTTGTTCTAGGAGCTTAGGATTTATCAGTGAAAATATAATTACAAAATGGCACTTGCTTTCAAGCAGGACAAAAATAATTAACAATGCAATCATGAATGAATTATAAAGACAGGACTCCAGAAAATAATAGTGAGAAGAAACGGGATCTGGACAAGGGTGATGATGGAGAAACTGCAGTTTGAAACAGGCTATTTCTGTCTCCCTTGAGAAGACAGAGATCTAGGGAGTGCACGAAGCCTAGCCATGGAGATACCTAAAGGGAGAACAGTCCAGAAGACCAGATAGCCCATGCAAAGGCCTACACTAGAAGTTGCCGGGGGCAGTTAGAGAAAGGGATTGCATCACTGCAGCTAAAGCAGAGTGAGCCAGGTGGGAGAGTGCCCAGAGGCTGAGGCCTCACGTGACTGAGTGATAAGACACATGGGGCCTCATAGGCCAACAGGATGACATTGGCTTTTACCCTGAGCAAAACAGAGAGATAGTGGCAGGTGTGAGCAGAGCCACAACACAGTCTAATTTATGTCTTACAAGGACCACAGAGATGGAAGACAGTGGGGTCAAGGGTGGAGGCAGGGAAACTTGTTTAGGTGACTATTGCACAGATCTTGGCAGAGAGACGAGGGTGGTTGAATTTGGGGTGCTTGCACAGATAGTGGTGAGAAGTGAGGCAGAGCTCAGGGGAATTGCTGATAGACTGAATGTGGGTTGCAGGGGAAAGAGGAGGCAGAGACGTTTTCCGGCTTCTGATCTAAGCAATAATTCAAAGATGTAGTTGCCACCGACTCCACAAGGAAGAGGAGGGGAGGTAGTAGGAAACCAAAGCTCAGTTTTGAATACATAGATTTGAGTTGGCCATGGGACAGTTTCTATCAATGATATAT